TCCACACTTCGCCATACGCATCATCATGTCCTCCAAGAACCACACACTTACCCCCATTTAGTCCATCACTCAATTTAAGTACCCTCTGAAACCCTTTTTTTCACCACAGCCCATCCCTTCCATATCCGACATCCTGAAGATAGCTCCATTAAATTCGAAAACAATTTTCAACAAAATTTCCCAACTTAGAACATTTGTTGAAATATACAACCCCGATATAATTTGCATCACAGAAACATAGGCAAATGAACTGATATCTCCCAAATTGTAATTTATATCGACATGACTGCGTTAGTAAACGACACGGAGGTTGTCTTATCTACATCAAAACTAGCATTGGACAAAGTGGTATTGATGTCCCAACCGAAACCTTTTCTGGAGAAGCGTATTTTGCCATAACAAAATCTCATGCACAGGAAAACATACTAGTCAGATGCCTCTTCTCCCCTCTAGAATTTAGTGATGATGACAAAAGCCTCAACCACTTAACAACAATATAGCTAACATAAAAACTGAATATAAGATAATCGCAGGCGACCTAAACCGCCCAGAAATAAACTACGTCGAATTATCGTCACTTACCAGGCACGAAGAATTGTTATCTTCAATTATCTTTAATAACTGGACACAAGCAGTTGACAAACCCACCCGAGGAAACAATATACTAGACGTTATTTTCACCAAAGACATCTGGCTCCTCTATATGCACCACGACTGCGTAACCTTTGAAAGTAACCATAAAGCCATAATATGAACACTCCCCTTAAATGCAGAGTAGCACCCCATTTTAGTAACACCCGGCTAAACCCAAAAAAACTTGACAAGGACTCCATGAACAACTATATTAGGTCGTTGAACTGGAGCCCATATCTTCTAACAACATCCCCTATGGAAGCAGTTCACCTATTGTACTCTGTCCTATTTGTAATTCCAGATACCTTGATAGACGAAAGACTCCCGTATAAGAAATCACTAATCCCACAATCTTTCAACTCAGCTAAAAAACTAAAAAACAGCTGCACAACCCCTCTGTAAGTTTTTTTTCCACACTTCGATGAATTAGGGAAATTCAAGACCTAGTTACGAAAATGGAAACACAAAACACCATAACAGCAGAACATCGGACATTAGAATCCCCTAAACGAACAGCTCAGATGCTTAAGAAACAAATGAATAATCATCGACAGTCAGGCCACGAACTATTATTGATGAATCAGGACAAGTTATGGTCAATGACAACCAAATAGCAAATGCATTCAACAAATACTTCTCAACTAACTACACAGTCGAGGAAGGAGTGACCCCCAACTGAGCGAAATGACAGAACGCATCCTTAGTGAGATCCGTTTTAGTGAGGCAACTGTTAAAGTAGCCATTAAACAACTATCCAACGCTAACTCCTATGGGACAGACAAAATCCCACCGTGCATTCTGAAACATATGACATATGCTCCAATACTCCTATCTAAGTTATTCACCCTACTCCAGTCAAGTGTAATTTTTCCGGACATGGGGAAATACTAGACCATTGCACCTATGTTTAAAAGTGACAACCGATCTCACACCCAAAATTATCCTGGTGTTCACCAAACAGCGGCTATAGCTAAAATCCTCGAAAAATAGTCTACAAACAAGTGTAGTGACATTTAAGTCTGTCTTGTTTTAATCAGTTACAAAACGCTTTGACACAACTTTGAATAAGACAAAGAACACGCACGTGCACGTTTACCTGCTGACGACTTTGTTCTTATTTACTAGTTTGTAACTGTTGGGATACTGCTATTTTCGTTTCCCGGATAGCCTACTCGCTGTGCCCAACTAGTGGGTTTGTCTCTTATGCAAGTACTAGACCATTTCACAAACGCCAACCTCATTCCTCCCTGTCAACATGCATTTCTACCTAAAAGGTCATGTCAGTCCTGCTACCTAACTTTTGGAATTCGTTTTCAGCAGTAGAGATGATGGAAACACAGTGCCTTTGATGAAGTCCCCCATAAAAGACTATTAGTAAAGCTCAAAAGTCATGAAATTAGGCCCTTACAAAAGATGCAATTAGTTCTGACGAACTTAGTTCCATAACATCATTTGGTAAGAGTGAGCATGTCAAACTGTTCTGGGAGTATTCCTTAAAAAGATGGCGAATGGAGACGACTGGACTTCAGCTGAATTTCTGGCGAGGGAATCGCGCTGCTCTGATAAGGGAGGAGTTATCGTTACTAGACTGTCAAAACGTTCTTACTGGATATCCGGGTGTCGATCGGAAATTTTTAATTGAGCTATGAGCAATTTGAGCCATCGAAACCGTCTGACAAAAAATGAGCTCAAAAGGGAAATTTTCCTGTCTTGTTGGTGATAAATACAAAGACAGGAACAAATGGGAGAAAACAAAGTCTTCGGTAAGCCATGTAGCAACAAAACGGCCTTTACACTACAAACACTTACGCCGAAAACGGAACGAGAAAAGACTTAATACTCGTAGGTTACAAAAGAGGCATGAAACATGATTCATGGAACGGGCCGTTGATAAGGCAAACGTACTCCTCAGCTAAAACAACAACAACAATAGGCGAAGGGACAGGGAGACGGTCATAAGTAAAAAGGAGAAAATACTGGGGCCAGTATCGAAAATAACGAGAAGGCAGGACAATTAAGCTATTTTTTCGCATCCGTTTTCACATATGAAACGGATATTGAACAAGTTGATCTCCCTACTAGGACAGTCGACTCAGTAGCGGAAAGCAACGATTTCACAGTAGTCTGGTCGCATCTCCCTTCCCCCATGTTCGGATGGACTCGTTTGAATGAAACCGACCGCATCTGGGTTCCTATCGGCTTGAGACTGATTTTCAATTTCGGCACTTATTTTTCTTATTCAAGGCGATACATGCCAGTCCTGACCGACCCGAACGTACCATTTTATGAAATCCGTTACACAATGCCATATACAGCTGACATTTATTTCGGCCATGTTGATGTCGGACTATATTCCATTCTGTACCGCCACATGGAGGCCAGTCCTCCCTGTTTTTTTCTGATGCTATTTTTCTGAGGGTTTTTTTTTTCTCCTGCTAAATTACTACAATCATTTTTAAATTTTGCTTTGGAGTTTTTTTTTTCACCCCTCGTTTTTTCATTTTCATTTTGCTTAACGGACTTCTAATCTCAAAAACTATGCATTGCACTTTGTGCAGATTTTGCCTACCTCGTCTAAAATTTGCATGTAAATTTATTTTTACTTGCTTTGATGGGACCCTGACGGGTCTTTAATAATAATAACAATAAATAATTGAATTGAGGTGATGTGAGTAAGGAACTTCTTGCGCTTAAGAAATGTAAATCTCCAGGTCTGGATCAAAAATTCTGAGGGTGGCTTGATTGTGAACTCTTTAGACCGCTTTTGCATATTTTCCGGCCTCCTTTGATCGTATCATTGTTTTCTTTGATTGGGACACAGTAAATAAATGCCCTATTCACAAATGTGAGTCCAGAAAAAGAGTTAACAATTATCATCCGATGAGCCTTCAAAGCAATTTTTGCAAAGTTTTCGAAAGGAGCATATAAGAAACTGCGTTAGATTTCTTCGAAGTTAAAGATTTCATTGGCAGCGTTAACATTGGGTTTAACGAAATCATCTATCAAAACACCCTTATTGGACTAACATACTCTATTCGATGAAATAGTGATCCAGCTCGTCAAATGAAGACACAAGAGTGAACGTCGTTTACGCCGACTTCAAAAAAGCTTTTAATACTATGCCCTATCGCCGGTCACCCTATAAGTTCCGAGAGTCTGCTATATGGGGTAGTCTAATAGACTGGGTAGAGGACCTCTTGATCGGCCGATCGCAGTCCATGCGTATTGGAAATGCGAAGTCAGTGTCAGTGCCAGTTGTAAGCGCGGTGTCTCAGAGTTCTGTGAACGGGCCATTATTGTTTTCAACTTACATCAACAGTTCGATCGTCGGGTCCGACGATATCCACTGCGCGTTACACAGCAAGGTGAAGTAGGCGCGGTGACTTGAGTGTGAATTAGTTTATAGTTAGAGTAGACTTGCACAACATCTGCCGTGCCCTCTCCTCCCCACCTGGGTCGGGTGTCAAGACCCAGTCAAGAAGACAGGAGGCAGGAGAGGACACGGGTGGCTGGCATGGCCGGACCCGCAACTAGGCGTACTGACACACCCCCGGTCCACAACAAACACTTGACCAGAATTTTGACCAATAACAGCACAAAAACGGGTCAAAAATAAGGAAATAACTGCGCAAAAATGCGCACGACCTAAATAGCCAGCGGAAGCTCAGCCGCATCTGCCGGTAGGGAACCAGGTCTCAGAGAACTGACAGTGCACAGCAGGCCGCGAGGGCCATTGTTTGCTGACTAATTGCACAGCAGATGCTAACAACTACTAGGGCCCATCATGGCTGCACGGAGCCCTGCACTTAGCCTGGGCTAGCACCGTTCAAAGGCCGGGTAACTAGCCAGCCACCGACTGAGAGACACTCCTCACATGCGAGGGAGTGCCATAGGTCGCGTTAGGAGGGAAACGTGGTAGCCGGACTCTCAGCCTATCAGCCCGCCACTTTAAAAAACACACACAACTGAAAAAACTTCGTGAACGGAGTCGAGTTTTCAGTCGGCAGCCTTCCAAGCCATTACGTTTGGCGCACTGCGATAGTCTCAGATTTCGATTACACATGAGGCAGAGGGACCAGAGGAAGAGGTAGCCACTTGCGCGAGAGACAGTAGTTGAGTGCTTTGCGTCGTTTGTTGATGGGTGATGTTGTTGTGTAGTGCGGGTGCTGGAGGGGAGAGGGTGTGATGGCGTGGTGCAGCCGGCGGTGGCTGAATATGCGGATGCAGGGAGGGAATTTGAGGCGGATGCGGGGAGTGTAGGTTGGTGCCCCACGCAGTGGTTCACCACTGTGTGCGATGGATTCGCAAGTGACCTACCAGGCCGATGTATGAGTGAATGCTCGATTGCAATGAGGGCAGATATGGCCCTAATCCACATCGTTGGAGATGGGGGTACTGGTGTTTATAGTAGTAAACGATGAAATGTCGGACGTCGTCCCATCGGGGAGAGTGTGATGTCGTGGTTTTGGTGGACCTAGTCTCTGTGGTGGACGCAGGGGTTGGGCAGAGCGGACAATGTCGGTGATTAATGGCGACGGTGCAGCAACTGTATGATCGGCGGTGACGGGGGCAGCCGTCTCCGTGGAGTTTGCAGCAGGGGTGGGAGTAAAAAAAAGTAGACGTTGCCGGGCTGTTGGCACATTGGGTCCAAAGGGATTCTTCTGGAGCGACTGTTGCCCAGAAGGTTCGCTGACACCAAGGGCATGTTAGGGGCGACTAAGTGCTGGCATTACGACGTGGAGGCAGCTAAGATTTTCGGGTTTCGCGGCTGGCTTCGGTGTCGGTTACGCGGTGGGCTTCGCAGGCCGCCGTGCTTATTTTTACTGTTCTCTTCCAGGCCGGTCGGTTCCAGGCGAGGTCTTCAAATGGGCCGATTTTATCTGCAGGCGTTTCAAATAGGTCCTTAGAGTGTCCTTATAGCCCCGGGCTTCACATACTCGGCAGTGGAAACCCGTGACGATATCTCCATAGAAGAGTTGTTTATGTAGTCGCTCGTCGTCCATCCGCATGAGGCAGTTACAATCGTCTCAGCACTGCGTAGGTGCAGAGAATTCCCGTCCGTACCAGTTCGTCCGTGTCTGGGATCGGCTCCTGCTATCCTAGCTTCAATATCCGTCGAGGACATGAGGTAGCAGTGATTGAGCTTCCGCGCCTGTTCTGTGTGCATCGTCCAGGTCACCGCTCAATACAACGACGTCGGCAGGATGACTGTTTTGTACATCTTGAGTTCCGTATTGAGAAGGAGACTGTGACGATTCCAGACGATGTTCTGCAAACGATCGAAAGCTTTGCTGACTTTGGGGATCCGGTTGGCAACTTCGTCGTCGATTTTGGGGCTGCAAGACTGTGCGCTGTCCAGGTAGGTGAAGGTGGGCGAAACTTGCAAGTGGGCGCCGTTCACGTAAATGTGATGTTCAGTGTATTCTGCGTTGGATGACGTCTGGTGCATAGTTATCGTTTTCTCCGTGTTGGTGGTTAGGTCGAAGATGCCGAAGGCGGCAAAAAAGGTTCATGCTCCTTTACATATCCTCTTCTGTGGTTGTGTTGAGAGCGCAATCGTCGGCGAAGAGAAGTTCATGGAGGATAGTTGTGGATACACGCCACTGAAAGTGCATCCGCAGATGATTGAGGAGTTGGCCGGCTGTCGTGTAGGAGACGCGGATCGCAAAACGTTAGACAAGGGAGGCGTTCATTAACATGGTACAGAACACGAGGCTGAAAGGGATAGGCGCAAGGACGCAGCCCTGATTCACTTCGCTGGCCACTGTAAATACTGTAAGACGGCTTCACTGTCCGTGATGCGCGACGACATGCCATCGTGAAGTTGAAGCACCAGCTAAATGAGTCGTTCGGCGCAGGCAAATTTCTACATGATTTTCAACAGTCCTTCGCGATCCAACGTGTCGAAGGTCCTTGTCATACCCACGAAGGTAGAGTAGAGGTGGATCCCCATCTAGCACTTTTCTCGCAGCTGGCGTACGGTGGAGATCATGCCAATGATCCCGAAATGATGACGGGAGCTGCACTGGCTTTCCGGCAGACGACCCTGTTACAGATGTTTGGTGAGAAGGTTGAGAAGGATGCGAATAATGGTCTTCCAGATGGCTCCCTTTCTGCTTATGGAGGTGGGCGATTGTGGCCTTTTTGAAATTCTGCGAGACCTCTCCTTGGCACCACATCTCTTGAAACAGCGCCGTCTGATGTTTCATGAGTTGGGGACCACGTTGCCTGTAGATCTCGGCAAGGCCGCATCCGATCGGCGCGCCTTTCCACTGGAGATCTGTTGCATGACCTCACCACAGTTTATTGTAGGGAGGGCGGGAGGTTTAGGTCGGCGTTCGTCTTCACTTCAGGCAGATGGCGGTGGCGGCGTCGAAGATGATGGAGAGGGGATTGAGGGCGCCTCTTAATTGTTGGACTCAGCGCTTCAGTATTTGAGCCTTCTCAGTGAGAAGGGCAGTTCCGTCGGCGTTGAGAAGAGGAGTGGAGACTTCGGCAGTGGAACCGTAGACAGCCTTAATCATCACAGCGAATAGTTCTTCTGTTCATATGTACGTATTTATGTATTTTAAGGGTTAGAGGCACAGCTCTTGATGACCACATTTATAATAATAATTGTGTTTGGTGCCAGTTTAAAGGCATTGTTTGCAATGATAATTGTATAATAATTTCGCACATCCACACTCAAAATAAAGTTATTCACACTTAGAATGTGGTCAGTTCATAATAAAACATTGATTATGTAGCAGTGCATCTGTTCACTGCAAGTCTGTACGGACACATTGAGTATGACAAGGTGTTTCACAAAGTTGGCTCTGAGTAGTCGTGTCGTAAACGTTGGTCTTTGTAAAAAATCAGGCGAGCACGTTTTCCTTAGAACATGCGAATTGTGTCGGCCGTCGCCATCTCACACGGAAGCGAGTTTAATGGTCGGTCAACCCGTTAGCTGAAAGAAAACTTCTTACGATTGACCCGCATGCGTTCACTCTTGATTTTGTAGGAATGACTGAGTAGTTGATTTTAATGGCAAACCCAAAGAAGTCTCCCATTCTCGGTGGACACCCACGGCCCCGGACAATCCGGAGTCCCAGAATAGACTGCAGTTGGGTTGTCCGTAAGATGGGGGAATAAGCCAAGCACCTTCAGCCTCTCCTGGTAGGACAAATGCTTCAGACCGTCAACCATCTTCTTTGCTCTGAATTTTACCTGTTCGAGTAGGTCGATGTCCTTCCTCATCCGTGGTGAAGTTCTTGGCATTCCATATGCCGTGTCGGCTCTTGCAAAGACGCCGAAAGTCCTCCGGAGAGTTCGAAGGGAAATATTTTGAATGAACGTCTTATGCAGTGTAAAGTAACAATTGCCCTCTGGACCGTATTCATACAGTGTTCTGTTGGCATTGGACTTGTGGTCGCCAATACACCCAGGGCCCTGTGTCATTCTACCTTTTTAAATGTCGTCCTGTTAATATAGTATTGACGTTTGAGAGAGGCATTTCGGCCGACGTTTAAGTGAAAGACTAGGCATTTGAAGACGTTGAACTTTCAAAGTCATCTGTTTGACCAAATACTTAGTTTACCGATGTCCGATTGCAACTTTTTGCATTATCAAAACATCTGACTTCACCCCATATTTAATGTCATCCGCGAACATGAGAGCCTAGCAGTCTACTTCGCTGATAGATCAGGAAGAACAGTGGGTCTAAATCAAAACCTTGTAGGGCACCACTTTCCAATTTTGTCCATTCCAAGGTAGGGTTACCAACGATGACTCTCCGTGGTCTATAGGACGACAAACTCCAGGTAAATATTAACACTCTTCCTTGAATTATTACATCCCAAATCTTCCGCAAATGAAGCGTGTGTGGGACACTAACAAAGGTCTTCTCGAAGTCGAAAATATGACATCTACTGGATAACCCATATCTGCGGCCTTTGTCCATTTCTCCTGCGAGTAAAGTGCAATCATGAGGCAACAACGCCGTGGACGAAAGCCATGTTGGACATCACAAAATATTTTGTTTTTTTTCAAGTACTCCATCAAGTGCCTTTTGATGATGCGCTTCATTATTTTACACATTACGCAAATAAGACTGAGAGATCAATACTTTCCACAGTCTACCTGTGAAACTCCTTTATGGATAGGGGAAGTGGGTGCGCATTTCCATTCTTCCGGGAGTTTGCCTTATTTAAGTGATTTTTGAAATATTATGGGCAGTGAGTCGCACAGTTCAGTAGCAATTCTCAAAGTGCTAATGAAGGAATTCGATCCAGACCAGGCGATTTAGCAGGCTTCAGCCGGAGTAATTTGACTCTAACTATGGTCGATGAAAAAAGTGGTTGCTCGGTAAAGAAGGATAGGGAGAGGGTAAAGGAAGGATAGGGGGACGATGAGTAGGAGGAGATATCGGTTGGCGAAGGGGAGGTGAAGCAAATAAAGAATTAGGTTGAAAATAGAGTGAAAAAAGTTAGAAAGTAGGGAGGCTGAAGGCGAAGTTTCGAGTTCCGGATGCATGCATAAGTGAAGAAGAAGAGAAATTGAGCACCGGAGCCTTTTGTTTGCTGTCCTGAGAACTCGAACTCGTGCAGGAGTCCATAATCGGAAATAGGAGCAGCAGCCGAAGGGAGGCTTAAACTGGTCGTCAATCTCCAGTTTTCCGTATGCAGACCTAAGGGCCGAGATCAGTTTCTGAGTTCTTTTAGTACTCCACTTATGGCTATATAGAATTTCGGGATGCTCCAACGAATCTTGCAGTATGTTCATTTCGAACTCCTTTCGCAACTTGGAAGCCTCACTGCTACAAATGTTCCGTTAGTGCTTATATTCCCGTAAGTGCTCTTCGGAGCCGGTTAGTCTGTAACGCACCCAAAGGCGACTTCGTTGCTAGAAAGAGGGTCCATAAGTTAGGGCTTATCCACCTTGGGCGGTTTGTAATTGTCTTTCTTCTGATAGTACAGCACGCGGTGGACATCATCGGCAGCGACGGCCGAACTGTCATGATGCATCTGCGTAGGGGCTGCGTTCTCATCTGGCAAGTCGGAGACCGTAGCTGTCTGGACCCATGACGTAAGTTATGTCGTTCCCGCGAACTAACGAACTACGGCTTACTAACCTCATAAACGGAGAGAGGTAAGGAAGGCCAGTAAGTGAATAAAGTTAATATTCAAAATGTTCATCGACCTGACCAGAGAGCATGCAAGCGGCGGGAAGCTTACAAGCGGCGGAGTACTCGTCACGTTAAAACAAATGCTACAGTAAAACAAACGTGACAAAATTGTCGAAGGTCAAGTAGTCAAGTACTTCAGCACAGTACCCCCCTCCGAGACCGGAGGGCGGCGTGAACGACGCCGGAGGACATACAAAGGTCTAGGAGAAATGAGTAACTAAACGATCGGGAAAGTGAACGTGAAGTCCACTGCGGGTGATATATGCGGGAGGCACTGTTGTGGGCAGCTGAGTAGGTGTTGTAGTGGACAAGTTAAGGGTGGAGGAAGAGGTTGCAGTTTGATGCTGCGAACCAGAAGGAAGAGGAAGTATACGGGACGGAGGGATAGGTGGGGAAAGTGGAAAAGGAGTGGGAGGAGGTATGGGGTCAGCACATGCTTTTCCTTGAGACACGTCCAGGGGCTCCTTTGCGACAGCAGCCTTGACCCGGTCGATGCTGACTACGTCCTCTTTGTCACCTCGTAGGATCCGAAAGGTCTTGCTGTTACGTGTAAGCACACGGAACGGTCCTTCGTATGGTGATTCTAACGGCTTCCGCACACGATCACACCGAACGAACACATGGGCGCAGTTGGCTAAGCCCTTTTCAACATAAGGCTCAGTCGATGGAGCTCGAGGTGGAACCGGGGAAAGCGAGCGCATGAATTGTCGCAGACGATGCGCAACATTCTCGGGGGTCTCTTCGGCACCACGAGAGGTTGGGGTGACCATCTCACCAGGGAGTCCGAGGGTAGTGCCGAAAACCAATTCGGCTGCCCTGCAGTCCAAGTCTGACTTCAGTGCCTCACGAATGCTAAGAAGTGCAACGGGTACATTGTTTGACCAGTTTTCGGGATCTTCTGCGGCACGCAGTGCAGTTTTTAGCTGGCGGTAAAAACGCTCAACCATGCCGTTCGCAGCTGGGTGGTAGGCCGTCGTCCGGATACGTGTGCGGCCAAGGAAGTTGAGGAGAGTTTGGAAAAGTGTGGACTCAAACTGCGCGCCTCGATCAGTCGTAATCATGGATGGCGCCCCGAATATGGCGACCCAACGACTGACGAAGGCTTTCACAATGGTCTCAGCTTGCACATTCGGTAAAGGAATGGCTTCCGGCCAACGAGTATAGCGATCAACGCAGGTGAGAAAGCGAGTATAGCCATTGGATGGAGGTAAAGGACCTACCACATCTAAATGCACAAGGTTGAACCGTGCATCGGGGCTGGGGAACGTGCCCGATGGAGACTTGTTGTGGCGTTGAAATTTTGTTACGTTGACAGCAAAGGCAAGATCGTGTCCAAGCTTTCACATCCAAGGAGGGCGCTCCTTTCCGGCCCATTGTTTCGCTCAAAGGCACTCTAACGTACGGACTGGCAAGATGGCTGTTTCGGCGCCTCAAATTTCTGACCGCTGATTCGGATACCACGGTCTGTTCGTCAACGCAATTCCTGGAGAAGCTTAAAGGAGTAAGTCTCTTGCCCAATGAGGTCATGGTATCTTTTGATGTCACGTCCCTCTTTACTTCTATCCCCCAGGATCTGGCAATCGAGACCGTCCAGCTACTCCTACGAAACAAATACGATGAAACGGAGAATCGTCTCGGACATGCTCAAGTCCTTCAGCTCCTAAAGTTCTGTCTCAGGACGTACTTCACGTTTGACGGAACAATCTACGAGCAAGTGAAGGGAACACCAATGGGCTCGCCGATTTCGGGATTCATCGCCGAGGCGGTGCTACAGCGGTTGGAGTCGCTGGTCTTCCAAAACCACAGACCGAAATTCTGGGCTCGGTATGTGGACGATACCTTCGTCGTCATCGAACGAGACCAGGTGCTAACGTTCAAAGAACGTCTCAACAGCGTCTTCCCGGACATACAATTCACGATGGAGGAGGAAGAGAATAACCAGCTGGCATTCCTTGATGTCCTCGTCTGTCGCAAAGATTGTGGTGGCCTAAAGACCAAAGTGTTCAGAAAAGCAACGAACACGACGCAAATTCTGAACTTCAACAGTAACCACCCAATCTGCCACAAACGCAATTGCGTAAGAACGCTATTTCGGCGTGTTGAGACGCACTGCAGTGAACCGGAAGACAAGGTTGCCGAATCCCAATATCTTCGACGGGTTTTCCGAGAAAACGGTTACCCGCGCAACTTCGTCAACCAGTGCCTGCGCAAACGAAACGAGCGACAAAATCGCGCCGACCCCAAATTCTGGCGAGCGATCCCGTACATCAAGAACGTCTCCGAGGCCGTTAGCCGCCTTCTTGCACCACTTGGGGTTGGAGTTGCGCACAGACCGGAGGCCACCATGAGGCGTCAAGTGATGAAACCAAAAGATCCACTGCCACGGCAAGAAACATCTGGAGTCGTTTATCGGATCTGGTGCAGTTGCGGACAAAGCAACTACGTCGAAGAAACTGGAAGACTGCTCCGGACGCGAATCGCCGAACACGTGGCAGCTGTACGGAGAAATGACGCCAACTCTCAGGTCGCGGCCAATTCGACGAGACCCGGCCACACATTCAAGTTCGATGAGGCCGAAATTCTCGCGAGAGGGGATAATCGCGTGAGCCGCGAGTTGCTTGAGTCATGGTTCACGGGACCTCAGTCTATCAACAAGTGCAACGACAACCCCACTCCATATTCTGTTTTGAGGCATAGACTGGCCAAAGCAATTGACCACTCGAGGAGCGCGCAAGCACGTGAGCCAGATGGCCGAGCAATCATCACGCCAGCATCCAACACGGGTGATGAGATGTCAGCAATTAACAACTTGCATGCCGGCCATCAAGCAATTAGCGCACCAGCGGGCAACAATCCTTGATGAAGGGAGCACGGTTAATTGCTGTAGGTATGCGGTAGCATGGCGACCGCATCATATAAATACTGCGACTTCCTGTACACTAGCCACCCTCTTCTGCAACCGTCTCTGATGATGGATTCAAGACAGAATCCGAAACGTCAGGCGAATAAAGCCATTGTTCCAGCGATCGCTTCTTCTTCTGATCAAAGTGTAAGGTCTTGCGAGCCGGATGCCAACATCGTTTGGACATCTGCAAGCAGCCGCTCTAGAAACATATCTTTAACGAGTTTCTCGTCGACCTGCATGTCGCCTAAGAGAGTACGCACTCGTCGGAGAAGTTCTGAGGGCTTTCGGTCGCCCAGTGATTCCTCCTTGATCAACTGGTGGTAGCGTTGTCGGTCAGTTACATTATTGAGACGAAGGATTTCCGCCTTCAGAGCAGAATAGGGAGCGTCTGCAGGGGGTTTCACTAACAAGGGTTGAACTTGTGAGATAATATTGGCAGGGAGAAGCTCCACAAGTTTGTGGTATTTCGACAACTCCTTCGTAATGTTGGCGGAGTAAAAGGCTGACTCAATGCGGATAAAATAAAGTTCAGTGGCGTGTTACCAGAAATCAGGCAAAGTGAAATGGACGGCATGAACAGACTCGGCAGGAACGTCAGGTTGTTGAGTTGAGGAAGACATAATAAGCAAAATATTGGTAGCACAATATCGTGAAAAGGTTAGCGGGAAATGTAAATGAACTAAAATTTAGCAAATAGATACAGGACGTTAAATGTTATTAAATGTTACAGAAGGAAAGAACTTAAGTCTGCGCTAACGTCGGGAGTCACCAATGACGTAAGTTATGTAGTTCCCGCGAACTAACGAACTACGGCTTACTAACCTCATAAACGGAGAGAGGTAAGGAAGGCCAGTAAGTGAATAAAGTTAATATTCAAAATGTTCATCGACCTGACCAGAGAGCATGCAAGCGGCGCGAAGCTTACAAGCGGCGGAGTACTCGTCACGTTAAAACAAATGCTACAGTAAAACAAACGTGACAAACTTGTCAAAGGTCAAGCAGTCAAGTACTTCAGCACACCCATATGTGGTCCAAATGAACTGAGCCAGACTGTGAGATCGGTGCGTTCCGAACTCGCCGTTGGGAAACTGAACGACCCTGGCGAAGGGGGGCATCGCAATGATGGCCGTTGGCAATAACTTCACTTCGGCGGAATTCTTGCCAAAAGTTGTTTTTTCATCGTGTCGGTAGGTGCCGTCTGTTTTTTTGTGGTTAACGTGACAAGTTGGCTCCATTTCACCAATTTCAGCATCGATTTTGGTCCATACACGTGACTTTTTTCCACGGTTCTCATTATAACCACACCAGACTAGAAGTTCTGTAGGTAATGGAGCACATGTCTGAGGCTTCGAGGTGGGACAGTCAAGTGGCTGTTCCATAACATGCAAAGCCGTCCGTAAGCTCAACCGATTTTGACGGATCGCGAGGAGCGAGAAATCTAGTAGAGCATTTACTAACCATCCCAGCTTGTAATGTCCTTTTTACTTGTAACATGAGGTCTCGGAATGTCAGCAGTCTTATGCGTCGACCGGCATGGCCTTGGGGCCTAATAAAACGCGAACGGCCTCCGAATTTGGCTGCATTTCGGTGGTTTCACAGACGATGCACAATCTACATAACATTACATTTCTATTATCAGGGACGTATTGCCCTCTACAAGACTAACCTATCAAAGTCAAAGACCCTAATTACACCTATAATGATGACATCTGTTGAATAACCTGCGATTCCGTTATGAGGTCTGACAAAGTTGCGATCCCTGTGGATATCTAAGCGACCACCAAGGACGCAATACTGGAGTCCTCTGAATCCGAATAGGGCCAAACCTTGCGGTTGAGTTCTGCATAGTTCAGCCCTGCTTGTGACATGGGTCTTAGGGCAGGGGCAACTGAGACACCTTTCACCGGTAATCTGATGTTTAAGGGCGGTCCGTACATCGTATGGTGAGGCGGAAGATCTCAGGATTATAGGTTTTACAATAAGAAGATGAACGATGACAATTGCCGAAATCAGAGGGATTCTCCTTTGCTCGATGCTTTGTTCGTTGCTTTTTATGGCACTAAATGCAACTGGTTTATTAACTTAAACGCCTGTTTCACGACTCCATTGTAATGCTCAAAAATCCATGAAAATGAATGCAACGTTGGCGTTCCGCGAAGAAGTGGGTTGTTAATTGGAAACCGAAACAATCCAAGTAGTCTACAAGAAGGTATATTTAACTATCCTAGATGTGAAACCCACTTCTTCCAGGCAAGAGAACACTCTGAGGTTTCAAGGCAATGTTCCTCTAAAACTGGCGGCACTGTAGATACGCTGAATCCAAACAGGTGCCAGATTGTCTCATGACGCGCGTGAATCAGAGTACGCAGAGTCCATGCCAGAAGGGGCTCACCGATCACGTTAAGGGACACAGTCGTCCCGTTGTATCCTGAGGCCCAGTCTCGAGCTCCACTAGTTGCCGCTCAGCGGCCAATATTATAGGCGGAATAACACTACCGATAAAGAAAAGGGCCTTAGACTTCTAGCCAGTTGGTTCGAGCCTCAGGGACTGAAAAAAACCATGGGATTGTGTAAGTCTGGCTGATGACGGCTAGTAGGCCAGAAATAGTCATTCAAGGCTCCCGCGTCTTCTTCCGTAATGCTATTGTGCTGCCGCGCATGCGGCAGAGGGGAGAGTGGTGGCAGAGCCAGAAGTATGTTCCACGCCGCCACCGTCACTGTGTAGCGGTACAGCAATGAGAATGTGTAGAGTCTGTGAGCTACAAGTATTAAGTCAAATCCCAGATTGGAAGGAGAAGACAGATGGCACCAGAATGAGGGCTTTATTGTGCACAGAACCCAGAGTTGTCCTTTCAGGCGGCGAAGCCAAAGCAGGTGTTGACTGCGTCTAGTCATGCCTGAGAGTCCCTGAGATAGTGGTGGCAGCCGCTTTTATAGGCTCTCGGGCCAAGCTCAAGTGGTGTCCAATCAATGTGTATTGCATTCGCTGAGGGGTAGTGTCGCAGTGGCGTAGGTTACAGTTGCAGGGGGGAGGTGCGCTTAAGTGGCCGCATGGGCAGCTGCGGCTGTGAGGACGCAGGTTTGCCCGAACTGTTGGTCGTGTAACTTCAGGCCAGCGCGTCTGGAACGGCTCACTGCAAAAGGGTGGATAACCTTGAGTCAGCGAGGCCTTGAACAATGACGCCAGACCGGTCATGATGGCTGTCCGCTACAACTGCACCCAATACCGGAATCAGGTGGCTGACAGGCTCGGACAGCGGACAGGTGCATGGCAGAGGTCGGAGAGAATAAGAATGCATTTGGGGAAACCATTGCCACGGCACATCAACGCGTCCCTCAACAAAAAACAACCCTGTGCACTGAAAGTCGCGGCGTGGAAGGCCGCCCACTGATAGGATAACTCGGTTTTCTCAGGACAGAGTCAGATTCATCGGTCCCTTCTGAGTATGGCCTTTGTATATGACACTCGCACTCAGAGGAGATCCAAGTTTTTCTCTCCTTGTTACAGAAAACCCGGTTCACCGTGCCTGGGTCAAGTCACGTGCGCACGCGTAGACGGGCTTTTTAACTTTGTTAACCACTGGCCCGGAGTTTGCCTCCGGTCGTTTGAACACTGTACAGCCACCGGAGCCAAGTGAACGGGGAAAAGTAGAGTGAAGTTGGTGCTTCGCAAGTCTGTCCTACCATAAACTAATTCACGCGCAAGTCACAGCTGCCAATTTTATTCCGCGAGGCACACGGTAGAAACTGTCGTTCACGACATTCGAACTGTTGTGCATACATCCGTCCGCCCTCAAAATAGGCACAAACGGAGTCGCCAGTTCCGATTTTTATGAAACCAACTGGGACACGGTAGTTCTAGAAGGCGATGCAATGTTTACTTTTGAGGCCAATACAGAATATAGCGACGAGTCCTAAGGAATTTCGGGTGACTGTCTACCCCTGGTCCACGGCTGTGCGTTTGGGTCCTCGGTTAGAGTGATCGCGTGGCCGGTTGGCGTGAACGGGATCTAAGGAAGTACTCACAGTCTAATTAATGTCCAGTAGATTTTGACCATGTACTCAGCCGGAAGGGAGCTCAGTAGGCCGTCTTGCTGCGACCCCGTAGTCACACATAATTCTCCTGCAAGTACTGAAACACGGCTTTGATGGAGACAAGGCTGTAATGCGGGTCTAGCACTAGACATTACCCCCACAGCGTGCCACACCAACACGGGGCCCAGATCAGGGTACCGCACGCGTTAACTAGGCTGTGCAGTCCGCGTATTTCATAACAAATGTCCCACATGATAACACACCTGGCCGCAGGCCAGCGCCCCACCAGCCACTGAATCCAATCCCCGCATTAAATGACTGCCTGTCTCAGGCAGTGGGCTGGTGCCTGTGGAGGGCAAGTGACGTCGACCCTGGGAACTCCGTTTCCGCGGCTTTTTCTGAAATTGGACTCTGTGGGACTCTCGCTCAGATGGGATCCGAATCGAACACTTCATGTCTCAGTGAAAACCTGGTCCATCGCGCATATGTGGGCTGTTTAGCCTCGTCAAGCACTGCGCCCAATCCCGTCTACGGTCGTCATGACTCAGTCTTGTTACGGGGCACAGGAGGATGGGGGAGGAGGGTGTGGCAGATGCTGTACAGATCTGCGGTCACCGAAGGCTAATTCATGCGTAAGCCATTGTCCCTAGTTCCACCTAGTCGTGGCGCACACGGTGGAAATTGTTGTTTGCGACGGGCACACAACGAAGACGTTGAGCCGCGAAGGCTCTGCACCGAGCATATCGACAGAAAGTCGACCGAATTTTCGACTAGAATGCTGCAGTTTGTGCATGTTCGAGGAATGGGCTGCTACCCAGTGTACATAGAACAGGCTAAGAAACAAGGGTGAAACAATCCGACACGGTGTGAACCAGTGGTTACCGATGGCTACATATACAGAGTAGGGGGCAGAGGGAAGG